AGTACTGATAACTAACACGGAAGGAGGCGATGAGTCAGGAGAAAGCACCGCCATTTCTAAGTCCTGTTGCGCGGGTGAACAGTCAGTGGTTTCAACAAAGCGAAGGATTCCATTACTGGCATGCTGTACTGTAATCCAACAAAGATACTGTAACGTTTCTAAGTGTCCTCAGCTCGTTCATACCCACTAGCGCGGCACTTTCACTTGTGAAGAAGGAAAGTGAATTCGATTTGTTCACCGACCAAGTGGCGGAACGTGATTCGGCATCCTGTCACGGCCGGAGCGCTTCTGCGTCGCCAGGCTGTCCCTCAACTGTCGTCAGCATCTACAGGTAGACTCGCGGGCAGAATTAGCTTCAAACTCGTGTCAGATGATCAAATCTCCGTTGTGTCTACTGTTACGACATTATCAACAAAGAAGATGATTTTGTTCGCGTTTCGTTTTGGCGGAAGGGGGTTGTGTACCAGCCGAAGACCCCGAGATATGACGGCCGCTGTTTGTAGTCGTCGCGGTCGCGAAGAGCCACTAGTCGGCGTCTCGACCAAAGCTGATACGGAGACGTTGCTGGGTCCACGTATAAGAAGATCCGGTGAAGGGCTGCAGCCGGAACATGACCTGCAAGACGCCCACAGGCCCCCATATACGTGCTGCGACCCAACAGCATTACCATCACCCGTCACTGACTTGCCATGGAGCCGTGCCCTCGCCCAACATCCAGTGTGTATCCGGTCTCCGAGTTCGATAATAGGTACTCAGCCTTCGAGAGCGGACATGCATTTGAGCTTGAGGATCTGCTGAAGCAAATCACCGACCAGGCGCAGGAGCATCATATAAGCAGAGGAAATGATGATCTGCCGGAGAGTTGCGGAACCATCACTGAGGCGTGGGCGCATCATAGGTCCATACAAGATAATGATGTGCCAGAGAGCTACGAGATCACCACACAGGAGTTAGAGCAACAGCTGATTATGCAAAATACTGAGTTGCGGGCGAGGCTCGATAGCGCACGAGAGCACTTTGCTCGCCTATACGATGTAATGAAGAGGGCAATGGGAGTGTCGAGGCGGCTATACGGGATCTACCTGAGTGTGGCACGTGAGAAAAGCATAGCACAGAAGAAAGAAAGGGCTAGCCAGGAAGACTTTTGAGTAACATTATTTCCGACTCCTTTGTCTACGTATCCGTGACGCCTGCAGCGGGCGCGCTGATTTCCTCTTCATATAGCAGGTCTCGCAGCCTGACCAGCTCCAAAATGATTGAATCTAAAGCGTCATATATCTGTATACGTCTGTCGTGTTGCTCCGATTCGATTGAGGCCACGTCTGACCCGGGCACAAACTCGCTAAGGCTGCCCTCGTCGCCGTCGACGACGAAGTCGCGGAGGCGGCCCGCGCTGTCATCATCGGTTCCGCTGGTAAGAATCTCAGAGTCAGAGCTCATGTCGCTCTCGCTGAAGGGGACGGCCTGGTACACTGCGTTGCTGTGTCAGAAAGATCGAGAGCCTTATGCTCATGAAAGAACGACGCGGCCTACATACTTTCAGTCATATCTGTCTGTCTCTGTAGTCGTCCAACCTCACGCAGGAAGAGCGTCGCATTATATGCGCGAATACGGAGCACTTATCCGCCGCACACGGTCTAATACCACCGCGATGGCGCATCTAGGATATTGCGTATAAGAATCTACTAGCAGCAGCGCGGGTCCAACGCTGCGGTGTGTTCCTCTATACGATCATCATGCACAGTACCATGGAAATCCACGGAATGTCCACGTACATCTATTACGGGAGACAGCTCTGTTCATTTGCCGTCTTGTGTTTGAGCGTTGTCATGGTTTTCATTTGTCGCTACACTGGGTTCTTTCAATGGAAGGTGTGACTTCCCTGCAAGCCCGTCCTTCAGCCCGCCGTCTCACTAACTTTCAAAATAGCCCGTATCTGAAGTGGCCGATGCAGCCATCCATTCTGTGAAAGCTGGTACGTACGCGTTCTGCGTCGAGACAGACCACGATCTCTGCTACCCGGTTGCTGCGTTCCTACTGGTCGATATTATATCATCGTTCTTTCTCTTTCTCTCGGTCATTTCCTTTGCTTTCACCGTCTGGCTGGGTCAGATGAGCTTAGAAAGCAGATTTTCCAAGTTTTCTCTGCTTTCCCAAACGTTCGGATTCTGGATGGCGATGCTTAGTTCTTTTTTTCGCTTTTGTGACGTATGTAGTTTCCAAAGTGCATCTGCAAGACGGTCAGCTAGACGCGGGGTTCTCTGTCAAAGGCGGCTTCGCGAACATTGCGCTTTCGAGCGTTGCTCTAGCCTCTCCCTTCATCTACGAGCTTTTCCAAAAAAATCCTTTTCACAATCATTTTGAGATCGATAATATATCTCAAGGGAGTGCTAGGTAGCTGGCCAATGCCCGACGGAATTTGTCCCAATTATCATAAGCGCTATGTGTCCAGTAGGCTAGTTCGTAGTGACTGCCACGTATCCGTGCAAGTTGCATTACC